TTTGACCCCTTGCTGATTTTGCAGGTTTGCCCACTTACAAAGAATGCTTATTTTTCCTCATCAGATGGTTTTCAATTTTTATAAATTCATATGATGTGATTTTCTGGAATTTTCTTTGGGATTCTGTCTTTCACTGTTAGAATGTACATATGATTAAAGTTATAGATCGTTGCATTCTTTGTAAGTGGGCAAACCTGCAAAATCAGCAAGGGCTCAAATACTTATTTCCACCACTGTAGGTGACACATCAAACCAAGTTTTACCAGAATATACACTGTTATCAATGCAACTCTCCTTTTGACCACAAATATTATAACAGATGTCTGTGTAGATGGTGATTTTCTTTTCTTTTTATTGTCCTAAAGGCCTAAATATTGTCCCAATCTTTGAACCTATCATGTTAAAAATCAACTCATTACTTCTTTTACTTTTACGGACAGATATCTCCTCTGATCTCACCCTATAAGGAGTCTCCAATCTCTCTGGGTCATTTTCCCCACTTTAGGATCTTTACATGATTTGATAATAGTTCCTTTAATAATTGATGGACGGTTTCATCCGCAGCTCGGCTTCTATCAGCCCAGATTTTTTTACGACCGGCTCTGCAGTCCGGGTCCGCGTCCAGAAAACGGGAAGGCGCGTGCGTGGTGGCGGTGGTGATGATGATGGTGCGCGTGACGCACGCACGCACGCACGCGCGGAGAGGAGGCAGATGAGGCAGACGGGACCTGGACTGAAGGAGGCGCAGTGCAGATTTCTCCGGTTCTTTTCTCCGGTTCCTCTCTCTCCCGGTTCCTCTCTCCGGTTCCTTTCTCTCCGGTTCCTCTCCCGGTTCCTCTCCCGGCCCTCGGATGCTCCGGTTCGGCGGCAGGATGTTTGGCTTCTCGGCCCTGCTCTCGCTTCTCCTCGCGGGGCTCGTGGCCGCGTCCTCGGATCTGTTTGATAACCAACTGGGCGACATCAACTACTGCAAAAAGCAGTGCCAGATCACCGTCAAAAACAAAAGCCCCGCTAAGGTAAGTAATTCCTTTATGCTGGAGTCTCCAATCTCTTTGGGTCATTAAGTTATTCCTTTATGCTGGTGGGAGAAAGGGATGAAGGGTGGAGGGGGGTATTATTGACACCTACGGATGCTCATATCCTATAGATGACCACATCAGTGTGTTTTAGGCATGTTAGGTCGGTCTTGGTGTAAGGAAGAGATCAGTAAACATGTCTGGAATTAATAAGATTAATAAACAGGTTTTGGAATCGTGCGTAATGACGCGTCTAGTTTTCGCTGCATCCTCCCGGATGCCTCCATCAACAACCAGGCCCAAAAGGATGCAGCTCCGGTCCGGTCTGCACCTTAAAGTCCAGCCCAAAGGGGGGGGGGGGGGTGACATAGACATATATATATATATATATACCCCGTAAACCTGCGCCAGGGACTGACCTTTTCCCGGTCTGCAGGCGGAACGGAGGATCTGGGCGAGCGGTGGGACTATTTAAGGACTATTTAACGTAAAAACCGGGTCTATTTTCCTGTTTTCCTGCCTCGGTTTGCTTCCTCCTCCTCCTCCCCCCCTCCTCCCCCTCCTCCCCCCTCCTCTCCTCCTTTTGCTGCCTTCAGGTGTGGTTCAGACATCCCGCAGGGCAGCAGGATCCGCAGAGCTGCTTCAGCCTTCTACGGAAGGATTCTGCAAATTATGCGTATTTTTGCGCAGTTTTTGGGGGTTTGCTGACGCTAAACGGAACTCAGTAGATGTAACAGAAATCTGAAACAGGAATCTGCTTCTTGTGCATCCGTCTGTGAAACGCTGATGAAAAGACCGCAAAGCGCTCAGACGGCGTCTTTGTCTCCTCTGCTCTCATCGGAGGGCGCTGTTTTCCAGCCCTCAGACTCATGATGTCAGGAAGTGCTGTATATAATGTGCATCCTCCTCTGATTGGAGGCAGACAAACCTCCGGGCCGGGAGTGTTTGTGACAGGCCGTAATAGGCCATTAGGACCTGCCAGGAGCCATCCAGGCCATAGGCTGAAGCTCGAGATTTTTTATTTTTATTTAACCAGGAAGTCCCATTGAGATTCTGAATCTCTTTTTCAAGAGAGACCTGGCCAAGCTAGCAGCCAAACCACAAGAAATTCATACATATTACATTTTACATAATAAAATCAGAGCAATATGTTAAAACACATTGAGCATCTCAAGAAAAACAAGCACATATCTCCATCACTACACTCTTCATGGTTGCTTTAAATTCATTAATGGACACGAGAGTTTTTAATTTGAGCTCTTTCTGGAGGTTATTCCAACCCCAAGGTGCAGAGTATAGGAGAAGGCAGTTTTTCCCAACTCAGTTGAAGCCCGGGGTACATTAAAAAGTAACCACTGAGAGGAGGTTACAGAGGTACAGTGGGAGTTTACCAAATATTGCTTTATAGATAAAGATATACTAGTGCTGTTTTCTACTAATTGTTAGTGATGTCCAACCAACTAGATCATAAAGAATGCAGTGATGAGTATGGGCAAGATGAAAGGATGCAGCATGCATGTACAATATATCTCCATAATCAATCACAGACAAAAAAGTAGCTTCTACAAGTTTTTTCTTTGCACTGAAGGTAAAACAAGATTTGTTTCTGAAGAAAAAAACAAGCTTTACTTTAAGCTTTAAGCTTCTTCACTAATGTATTGATATGTACTTTAAAAGAAAGCTTATCATCTATCCATATTCCCAAGTACTTGTATGAAGACACTCTCTCAATGGGGCTAGAAATAAGATTTGGCTCCACTAACCTGGGGACTACTTTTCCATAGCAGTTTTTTCCAATCTTAAATATGTACTCAAGCTGGGAAAAAAAGTTCTCCATGGGATTAGAGTATGCCAGTATTACATATGTATATATGCCAGTATTCGAGAAAATGTGTGCCAAAGGTGGCAGTTTACCCCAAAAAGTGACAAATTTGGGTCTTCTACCATTTTCAAACCCTTGTAACTTTTTTTATTATTAAGGCGATCGGACTAAAAATGTTGATTCCCACAGACACTCATACTTACTCTGAGCTTCTAAAGTGGCTTTAAGTAAGGAGTTATTCTAAATAAAAAAACACTTTTAACAATTTCACAATCTCCCAAAATATATCATTATTGCACATGAAAACTGCAATTCTTTGAATTTTCCATTGAAAAACTCTAATAGCAAGATATCCTTTTTGTGTCTGGTTAACTAATAACTATGAAAAGTGGTCTGAATTTTATCAGCTAGCAGACCAGGAAGCAAAATTTTAGGAAATAACTGAAACACAG